GGAGCTTGCAGTGAGCTGAGATCCGGCCACTGCACTCCAGCCTGGGTGACAGAGCGAGACTCCGTCTCAAAAAAAATAAAAAAATAAAAATAAAAAAAATAAAAAAAGAGAATGAAAAGATGCAAAGTGGGAGAAAATATTTGCAAATCATCTATTTAACAAAGAGCTTAAATCCAGAATATATTTTTAAAAAAAAAAAACCTCTCAAAACAACAGTAAAATATACAACGCAGCAGGGTACGGTGGCTTACGCCTGTAATCGCAGCACTTTGGGAGGCCAAGGTGGGTGGATCACGAGGCGGGAGGATCACGAAGTCAGGAGTTCAAGACCAGCCTGATCAACATGGTGAAACCCCGTCTCTACTAAAAATACAAAAATTAGCCAGGCATGGTGGCACACGGCAGGAGAATCGCTTGAACCTGGGAGGCGGAGGTTGCAGTGAGCTGAGATCATGCCACTGCACTCCAGCCTAGGCGACAGAGCGAGACTCCAATTTAAAAAAATAAAATGAAATAAAATAACAAGAAAATATACAACCCAGGCCAGGTGCGGTGGCACACGCATGTAATCCCAGCACTCTGGGAGGCTGAGGCAGGTGGATCACCTGAGGTCAGAAGTTCAAGACCAGCTTGACCAACATGGTGAAACCCCATCTCTACTAAAAATACAAAAAAATAGCCGGGCATGGTGGCGCACGCCTGTAATCCCAGCTACTCAGGAGGCTGAGGCAGGAGAATTGCTTGAACCTGGGAGACAGAGGTTGCAGTGAGCCGAGATCACCCCATTGCACTCCAGCCTGGGCGACAGAGTGAGACTCCATCTCAAAAAAGATAAAAAAGCATATATAACCCAATTTTTAAAAATGGGCAAAAGAGTTCAACAGGTAAAAGAGGACACAAAGATAAAATAAGTGCATGAATCAATGCTCAACATCATTAGGCAACAACAAATTAAAACCACTATACACCTATTCAAATGGCTACACTTTTTAAACTGAGAATATCAAGGACTGGTAAAGACGCAAAGCTACCACTCTCACACACTGCTGAAAGAGATGTAAATCATACAGTCACTTTGGAAAACAGCTTGGTAGTCTCTTAAAAACTGAACATACACTTACATATGATCTAACAATCTCACTTGTAGGTATTTACCAACAGCAATAAAAATGTATGTTCGCACAAAAACCTGTACACAAAGGCTTACAGCAGCTCTGTTCCTCACTGCCAACAAATGGAAGCACCCAAATGTCCCTCAAAAGGTGAATGGAAAAACTGTTGTACGTGCATTTAATGGATATGCATGTAATGGAACACTCCTCAGCAATAAAAGACATGACTTTTACTATACAGAACCATCTGGATGAGGCGTTACAGCAAGTGAAGAAGCTAGTCTCAAAAGACACAGACCTGAGGTCTCAACCCTTAGAGGCAGCGATAGGGTGTGACCACCAAGGGGCGGTGTGAAGGAGGTTTTGATAGGAGCTGAGTCCTGAGAGCAGTATCTTGTATCCTATTCTGTGTCCTGACTGTGGTGCTGGTTAAACAAATCATGACACGTGTTGTAACTCAGACCTTCTCCAATTACCCTAGTCAACCATGATGTTGATGACTATGTGTTTAACTGGTTGTATTTCCTCTGCCTTAAGAAAAATAAAGTACCTTTTCTTAATAAATGTTAAGTACAACAATATACCTAAGTATTTCCTTCAGTTATTATAAATTATAAAACCATGTGAATAAAACAGCTTTATAGAATTTTTTTTTTTTTTTTTTTGAGACAGAATTTCGCTTTTGTTACCCAGGCTGGAGTGCAGTGGCGCAATCTCAGCTCGCTGCAACCTCCATCTCCCAGGTTCAAGTGATCCTCCCAGCTCAGCCTCCCAAGTAGCTGGGACTACAGGCACACACCACCACGCCTGGCTAATTTTTGTAGAGACAGAGTTTCACCACGTTGGTTGGGCTGGTCTCGAACTCCTGACCTCAGGTGATCCACCTGCCTCGGCCTCCCAAAGTGCTGGGATTACAGGCATGAGCCACTGTGCCCAGCCCAGAATTTACTGTAATAGGAAATATGTACTTTGAAAATTATTTTAGATAAATATTGATCCCAAAAGTCACCTATGTTTGGTCACTTTCCAAAACCGTATTTAACTACTAGAAAGTGTTTTAACAAAACATGTTTCTCTACTCTAGAGCTCTATTCTATTGTAGTAAAAGTATTCCCATTAATATTTTAAGTTTTAACTAATTATGATTTTTTTCACTGAAATATGAAAATCAACGTGAACAAACTTCAACAGGCTATGGATTCATTTCGTAACATCAGAGCTACTTCAGTATATAAAGAGAGGCTTCGCCTTCAGTAAGGTCCTTAAGAAAAAAGTATGCCCATTCTCTTTCGCTAATATACATGACAAAAATAATGCAGCAAAGCCAAAAGATTTATAATTGCCAGAAATTACATACAGGCCTAACAATAAGATTCTGATTAGTGTCACAAAAGATCAAAATATATATCAATTATAAACTTATAGGAGTTGATTTGCAATTACAGTCTCCAAATATAGTTCCCAGAATTTCACTGAGTAAATGAGTTCTCTAGTACTCACTCATGTATAAGTGAAATCAAGTTCAGCTTTAGAAAACTCAGCTGTTTTCTGTCTAGTATGACCTTATTTATACAAAAGGATCTTCCCAACATTCATTTTCAAATACACATTTAACTGAAAGGTTAAAAAGCAGGTAGGGTGGATATTATACTGTCCGTCTAAATACGTATTCCAGAAATAACAACAGATTGGAAACTGAACCTAATTTTAAAATATAACTAAGCTAGAACCCAAGCTATCTCATCCAACTGCAAAATGTGTAGTGTGTGCTGTGTGTGTGTGTGTAGGCTTCTATACACCTACAGATAATAGCACAGATAAACAAAACTCAAGAGCTGCCTTAATAAAGTGATGCACAGAAATCAAACAACTGAAAAAGGATAAGGGTGCTGTTTTAGGTAGCAACTTTTCACACCTGGTCTCCTCTATCAAATGAAAATATGTTTTTTTCCCAAACCAAAAAGCATTTTAAAGAATTGTCTTCTTACGTAAACAGGTATTTCTCTTAGTTCACTAAGGAGAAAACACATTATTTCTGTGTACTGAAGTATTAAGTGCAAAAATAAGTCTGTAATAGCAACTAAAAAAAAAACAAGTATAAAGTATAAAATGACTCCAATTTTTATGTCTTCCCAACTTCTAACTACAAAAATCACATAATGACTTCGAAACTTTGTAACTTTAGAAAACATGCCAATGTAGGTGACATTTCCAATCCAGATGCTCCATTCTCTAACTCATTCTCAAATGTTGGTACTACTCAAACTACCTACAATTCAACAGAATCACAAATAGCCTGGATTCATAAATCATGGAAGGTAGTTTTGGTAAGAAACAGTCCTTCAGCTTGGCAATCTGTGAATGGATACATACACAACAAAGAAACATCATTTAAAATGGGTACCTACGTTCTTTCCGGTGCTCAACTAAACCTACAGCCTGCTTTGCTGAGCACTTTGCAAACCAGTTGTCCCCCAGTAAAACAGTGACTTCATTAGTATGGACAAGTTTTCCTGGCATGAAGGCAAAAGGGCCAAATGGTACCTATTGTTTAAAAAAAAGAAAAAAGGGAAAAAACGTAAAACACTGAAAAATATATTTTATAAAACACTTTGCATTAAAAGCCTTACATTAACACTGAATTTTTTTATTTATACATTGGTAAAAATAAAATGCCAGCTTCACAGAAATTTAACATTATATTAAAATTTTACTAGGAAAATCTACAGAAAATTGCTTTATGTTCATAAATCAATGTTAAAACAGGAAAATAAATCCACACCATATTTACATACAGCTCTTAAAGAAAGTAGTACTGTCTCGGCATGTTTATACTTTTCATTCACTTGCAAATCTAAATGAAAGCAACCAGTAGTGAAACACTGTCAATGCAAAATACTTTTGATAAAGAAAACTAAAAATTATTTTCAATAAAATAGCCATTTTTGCAAAGCAGGAATTAGTAAACAAACAGCTTTAATGGATCTACCTAGCTATATATACAAAATACTTGAACCAGTATAAAAGAACAAAGTCTTCATAAGAAAGAATATTCATGCAATGAAAGGTTCTAATCCAGGGCTCATGAACAGATCACTATGTCACTGTGAAGATCATTAAAACAAAAATTAGCAGCACGTTTTTATATAAAAATCAATGTCCTAAGGTTTAATTCTGTGAATTACAAAACATTATGGCCTATTCCTGCTCTGGCTAACAAGAAATGACTAAGTGCCATATTTCTGTCATAATTACATTTTTTATATAGTAAGTTTCCATTCGAAATATGTCCAATTTTGTGCTAATATTTATGTCATTTATGTCACCATGTATACTCTGGAAAAAAAAAGGTAAATACCAGCGATCACTACAATTACTGTGTTCTTATAAAGTAAAACAAAACAAATTTTCCTTGCTACGTAGTTACCTCATACACAGCCATCAGCTTGGCATTCTGTGAACGAACACAGTTAATACGTTTACAAGAAACAACTATTACTTTAAAAGAAACACACCAAACATACCATTATATTATAAGACAATTTATCAGGCAAGGTGCTGAGTCTTTCTCGAAGGGCATTATAGTCATTATCTACTTTCTTCCTGTTGACAAAAAAAAAACACCAAATATACAAATTATTAATGATTTTTCTTTTCCTTTTTTCTTTTTTTTTTATTGTTTTTTTGAGACAGAGTGTTGCTCTGTCGCCCAGGCTAAAGTGCAGTGGCGTGATCTCGGCTCACTGCACCCTCCGCCTCCCGGGTTCAAGCAATTCTCCTGCCTCAGCCTCCTGAGTAGCTGGGATTACAGGTGTGCGCCACCATGCACAGCTAGTTTTTGTATTTTCAGTAGAGACGGGGTTTCACCATGTTGGTCAGGCTGGTCTTGAACTCCTGACCTCATGATCCGCCCACCTCAGCCTCCCAAAGTGCTGGGGTTACAGGCGTGAGCCACCGCACCGGCCTCACTCAAAAGCTTTATTAAAACTGTTCTTTCGATCAGGTGTGGTGGCTCACGCCTGTAACCCCAGCACTTTGGGAGGCCCAGTAGGCCAGGTATCATAAAACAAGCTAATCAAAAACCTAATTTTAGCAAATTAAAGATTAATGTGGTTTTTAGTTTTAAAACCCTGTTTTTATAAAGTTTAGCAATGGCATTATTCTACCATACATTTATTGAAGAATTAAGACTCTTCAGGGACTTCGGCATTTAGAAGCAGAATACTCAAATTTTGAGAATTACTGTTTTTTAAGATACAAGACTCTGGACTAAATAAAATGCGAAAATTAAGGGAGACAGTAAAAGAAGGCCTGATGTTTGGAGAGAAGAAGGGACTCAAGATGAAGACAGAAGAAATTATTTATTTTAAGACAGTCTCTCTCTGTTGCCCAGGCTGGAGTGCAGTGGCACAATCTCAGCTCACTGCAACCTCCACCTCCTGGGTTCAAGTAATTCCCCTGCCTTGGCCTCCCAAGTAACTGAGACTACAGGAGCATGCCACCAAGCCCAGCTACTTTTTGTATTTTCCATAGAGATTAGGTTTCTTCGTCATGTTGGCCAGGCTGGTCTCGAACTCCTGGCTTCAAGCGATCCCCCCTGCCGCAGCCTCCCAAAGGTGCTGGGATTACACGCGTGAGCCAACACACCTGGCCGAAAGAAGAGATTTAATAAAGCTTTTGAGTGAATAGATACTGGCTGTGAAGTTGAAATCATGAACATGAAATTTGATCAGATGCTTTAGTCCTCATCAGAAAACTTTAGACTGAAAAATGTGTCATCAGCTCTTCAATTATTCATAATAATGTGATTAAGGTAAGAGAGAATCAACTGGGGGTAGAAGAAATTAAGTAGAGATAATACAAAAGGCGTTTCAATGTGGCTTAGGAGTCTATTTCTTGCTGTATCAAACAGAGCTACCAAGTGAGTAATTTCAAACAACCAAAAGGTGTAAGTAACTCTGTAGTGGCAGAGATGATCGTATTTCCATGCTATGGGCCTTACTCAGCTCTTAACACCTGCTGGAAATGAACAGCCCTTCTTTTTGAGTAATACCAGGAAGCAGCCTATGCCAAGATGCCCGTTTTCAAACTTTCGCTGGAGATTGGGTTTCCTGCTAAAATACAGGCTGCAAGCAAAACTACAGCGCTGAATTTTTTTGAAGCAGAAGGATGTTGTCAGTTTTTAAAAATAACAGAAACAAAACTCACCAACTCAGCAAGCAATTTAAAAGAACATGTAGACATTGTCAAACTGAAATCAGGATAAACTGCAATGTAGGTAACAACTCTCCAGATAATATAAATGACTGCGCTATACACATCACAGAATTGGTTTCAGCTTACTGCTTAGTTCCCTGAAGCAACAGTAGCATAATTAATAAAAAAATTATCTCAGCCTTAAGATCTTAAGGAATTTCACATATATATTATTTGACATATCCTATAATAAATGTCACTTATCAATATTTTTCTCTTACAGAAGACAAAGTAGAAGGAAGATGGAAAAACCACAGAGCAAGAAGCCAGATCTCCTCTATCAAGATGAGGTAAGCAATGAGTTTGACCTAGCTAGGTCTTCTGACCTGCATTCCTTCACGAAAGCTTTCTTGTTTTCTAGTGTGCAACTGCTTTTTATAAACTTTCCCCAAAAAAATCCTTTTCTATAAATAAATATAAAACATGTTTTATTCTTTTGTTTAAGGCAAAAATCCTCCTCCTGGAAAATTTTTATATGGAAAAAATGGCAAACAACTTCATGCACAAGGCTATGTACCAGAAAGAACATGGCTTTGAAGTCAGACCAGAGAGTGAATCCCAAGCTCTACATGCAATTCACACAAATTCACCTTAGTCTTTGTATCGTCAATGGCAAAACTGGACTAATACTTATCTCACAGGTTCAACAGAATTAAATAGAAAAGGTCTAACACACTGCCCAGCGTGGAACATCTACTATGTTGGTTCCAAAACTCAAAACTCATTTTTTTCCATGAAGCATCAAAAACACCAATTCCAAAACTTTCAAGAAAGACTATTACCCACAAGATTTCACTAACCAACTTGATACAAATAGCGTAACTTGCTGAAAGACAGTACAGCTGAAAGTAACCATTCAGGGGCTCTGGAAACAGGACTGGTGTGAGCAGTCAATGGGAGAATGTCTCCACAGGACTGACTAGCATAGTGCCTAGACAGTCAACACTCACTATTAATAACACAACACTAACAGCTTATTTACGTTTCAGATAAGTAATTCTGCAAATGCTCAAGGACTATATACACCAGCCTAGATATCTAAATGTTTCTATGAATATTAAGAAGCTACTATTAAAGTTATCATTCAATAGGCCTTATTTTGGTAACAATGCTTAGGAGAAAAAAAAGAAAAAAAACTTCCTCACAAAACATCTCTTGTACATTAAAAGAACAGTAGGTTCAACAACAGGTAATACCAGAGATCAATGTCAGTATTTCAAGTCAAACATACTCAGTTTTCAATTTATTAATAATTCTCTCTAGCACAAAAATGTGGACATACTGGAGAGCAATTTAAGATTAGAGTTGCTATTTACAAATTTTGAATAGTTTTCTAAAAATATAAAGTAGAAGATGACTTAAAATGCAGCCCATGCAGAAATCCTTTATGAAGGGAGGCCAGGAGGAGTCAAGCAGTGTCTCTGGAAGAAACTACAGCTTGAGGAACAACCCTCTCTCTCTAAAGGCTACATTAGTGGAAATGTTGGGGACCAAACGCTTAGTCAAACAGTGATCTCCAAATAGTCTCTCTATTATTTCAGGCTTAAATAATCCTGTTAAAGATCACAAAGCTTAGGCAACAGAAAATACGAAAGTTATGTTAAGAACTAATGCATTACTGAGGTAAGTCTAGGGTCTTTATTCATAACAAAATTTGATCATTTTTTTTTTCTATTTTAATAATTAGAAACAAGTAATTAATTTTTGGACACAGGAGTCATAGTACAGTAACCAAAAATGGTAATTGCTTAAAATAATTTTCTTCACAGGAAAACAAAACCCAGATAGAGTTAAGAAACACCTCTCCAGCCTACTTAAAACAGCTAGACCTGCTTCTTTGGCTTCAACATAATGGATCCTTATAGATTAGGTTCCACCTTCAACTCTTAATTTTAAATTTTTTTCCAATATCCTCATGCAACATTCCTTATAGAAAACAAGAACTAAAGCATAGGTATAAGGCATCTAAGAAACTTTAACCACCTTCTTCTGAATCTTGCTAATCATGTGTAATATGCCTTTTGAGAGTACCTTTTGTTTTAAGGAAATTAAAAAAAAAAAAAAAA